AGGACGTGTTAAAGTCAGGGTGGTTGTGCAGATGCCTGGAGGCACCTCAGCACTGTGGAGATAGAAACAGGAGGACCACTGGGATTTGCTGGATGGCAGTGTACCCACAACACAAACCAACAAACCAGCAAGCCCCAGGCTCAGTGAGAAACCCCGTCTCAGGGGACTAAGGCAGAACATGATTGAGTAGGACACCTAGTGTCCTCTGGCTCCATGCATATGTGTGAGCACACCATGGGCACATACACAGTACATGCCTGCTGTTCTCTTTCCCATCACAGAAGAAAGGCAGTAGAGAGGAGTTGACCTTGACCATGGTGTAAGAGGGAAGATGTCTCCGTCCCCTTTAAGCGTTCATGTTGTAGTACTTTGCTGGTCAGTATGACCAGATGTCTGACGAGGCGCACCTTCGGAACGTTTGTTTTGTTTCACACTTTGAGGAAGTCTGGGCCATAGTGATGGGCAGCTTTGTGGCAGTGGGAATGTGCAGCAGTTGCTTGCTCATATCTCGGTGGACCAGGAAACAGACAGGATAGGAGGCAGGGCTGGTCCCCACCCCTTCTCCCAGAACCCACTTTCTCCAGTGAAGCTCAGCCATAGATTTCACAATGCCCCAAAGCTGGGATCCAGGTGTCCAAACATGGGAGCCTGTGAAGATTATCACATGTGATGTTTCTCAACCTCTCCTTGTTTTCAGGAAAGACCGTAGATGAGGCTGCTGAGTTGGCATTGAATTACATGAAGTCAAAGGTCAAAGGTCTAGGTGGCCTCATCTTGGTCAGCAAAACAGGAGACTGGGTAGCAAAGTGGACCTCTGCCTCCATGCCCTGGGCAGCGGTGAAGAATGGCAAGCTGCAGGCCGGCATTGACCTTTGTGAAACCAAGACCAGGGACCTGCCCTAAGCCCCAGAAGATTGTAATCTGCTTACTAGCCTGGAAGTGAAGTTGAGCTGCCTGGTGTGGAGACCTAGCTTAATCAATTAGATGTAGACATGGAAAACTTACGAAGTCTGTCCCTCCTTTTGTTGCCTTGGTAATAAGTCAATGAATGTTGGGTTGAGGGTCGGGTTCTGGAGCCATGAGAGGTGCCTGTGTTGAGAGCAGTGAAAGTGGGAGCCTAGGGAGCCCTTCCTTCCCAGTCTCCATGGTGCAAGGCTAGAAGAAGGGAGCTGCTAGATTTTGACCACAGAACTGCCTCTGGGCTGGGAATGCCTTTTGGATTGGGAGAAGAGCAATTTGCAGCTACTAGACTGGGAGAGTGTGGGAGCGGGGGCTGAAGAAAGGTGTTTGAGAGAAAGACCCAAGTCCAGGTGAAGCTCAGAATGTTGCAGGGTTCATTCTGAGGCACAAGAACACCTGGCAAGATGTGGAGAGAGGAGTTCTTCCTGTGCGAGGGGGAAATGGAGCTTTGCAGAAAGCTCAGACTTCCCAACATGGATCTGGGTACTTAGAGTCTCCATAGCTGCCCAATCTGTAGACTAATGAGTCTGTGGAGTTTCCCAATGTCTGGGGTCTTTCTTGGCTTACAGGTGAGCTCCCAAAAGCCAGCCCCACCTGAGCCCAGCCCCAGTTGTCTTCACATGGGCTTGACTGAGCTCATGACCTTTCCAGCCTCTCCAACAGCGGGTTGGCAAATGGCTGCAGAGCTGACACTGACTCACCGAGGGAGCAGACTGCCAGTGCTTTGGGACAGTCCCACGCACACTGACTCAAATGTTCAGGGTGGTGAGCATGATGCAGAAAGCAGGCTCCTCAGTGGAGAGCGCCCTGTGCACCTGTCATCACCCTGGAAATGGCATGTCTGCTCAGCTTTTTAGTCTATCGGGATCCCCTTCTCTCTGGGAAGAAACTGGTTAACTTTAAATAACACATGCCACTAATAAAATGTATTTTTGAAAGAATAAGTGTGGTTAGGTGTCACTGTTGACCAAGACCAGAACAGATACAAGCTCCCCTCTTGGACCCTCAATGCAGGCAGGTGTAATAGATGAGGGGACCTTTTACGGGTGGTATGTAAGTGTGGTATATCCTGCCTCATAGAGTTTAGTGGCGAGTTTTTTAGAAGCAGCGAACTTTCTCTCAGTGTTAAGGCAGAAACAAAACCACCAAGTCTCAGCTGGACTCATGGCTCTGTCTCCCCAACACTTTGCCCAGGTTCACAGTAGCTCCTGACCCAAGTCCCTCTTGTGAGCCTGTGGCTGATCTGCATTAAAGAGAAAGAGCCACACTTAGAGTCAGAACTGACTACCCAGGGGACCCTGGGGACGTTAACATTTGAGAATTTTTCATCTATGAAAATCTTCTAGGACTCTGAAGATTAAGTGAAAGTGAAGAAAAACTTAGTGCATCTTAAGGATTCTCTGGACAAATTCAGAAACTGTAGCCAGTCCCCAGTGTGAGGACGGTTATACGTTTATGAACCTTGAAAGCCTCGGTCGGTCTGCAGTCCCTGCTGATTAGCAGGAAACATTTGGTTAAGAGGCTTATTTGTTTGCCAGTGCTGCCACAGCAAAATGCCTTAGGCTGGGTGGTTTGATTATCAGAAGTGTATTTTCTCAGTTCTGGACACTGGAAGTTCAACATCAAAAGGTGGGATTTGTGTTTGTTTGTTTGTTTTGTGTTTTTTGTTTTTTTGCTTGTTTCTGGTTGGTTGGTTGGTTGGTTGGTTGGTTGGTTAGGGGTTTTGGAGGGTATTGTTTTGTTAGGGTTTGTGTGTGGGGGGGGGTGGTGGTGGTTCATTTTGGTTTTTGAGACAGAATCTCTCTGTATAGTCCAAGTTGACCTTTGAATTCTCAATCCTTCAGCCCCAGCCTCCCAAGAAGGAGATTGTAGGCCTATAGACATATACCACCCTGCCTGGCCACCTAACATGAGATTTTCTCAGAACACACTGTGCCCTCTTCTCACAGGGACACCAGTCACATGAATTCGGGTTTCCCCAGCCCTACAACACCCTCATTTTAAGTTCATTACTCCTTTGGTGGCCCTGTCCCCAGATATAGTCACATTCTGAGTTACTGGGGAAGGATGGGGCTTAGAGATTCATCCTGTGAACTGAAAGGGTGACAGAAGACAACGCAAAAACCATGGTGGGCTTGGAAAGGGAAGAGACCCTGTGGAGAAAGTAACAGTCACTAGACACCTGAAAAGAGGGATGGGAACAGAGCAACCAAAGGAAAGATCTAACCTTGATTTTCTCTGTTCTGCCATGCACAAGGGAGGTAGCCCTAGTTAAAGACTGCTAGATCCTTTCCCACTCTGCAGGCTGCTGTTTTGTCTTATTGACAGTGTTCTTTGTCTTCAAAAGCTTTTCAGTTTTGTGAGGTCCCATTTATTTAATTGTCAGTCTCAGTGTCTGTGCTACTGGTGGTGTTCTATTCAGAAAGTTGTCTCCTGTGCCAATGCATTCAGGACTGATCACCAAAATATATAAAGAACTCAAGAAACTAGACATCAAAAAATCAAACAATCCAATTAAAAATGGGGTACAGATCTAAGCGGAGAATTCTCAACAGAAGAATTTCTAATGGCTAAATACACTTAAAGAATTATTCAACAGCTGTCAGGGAAATGCAGATCAAAATGACTCTGAGAGAGCATCTTACACCAGTCAGAATGGCTTAGTTCAAAAACACTAATGACAGCTTACGCTGGCAAGGATGTGGAGCAAGGGGAACACTCCTCCACTGTTGGTGGGAATGCAGACTTGTACAGCCACTTTGGAAATCAATATGGAGGTTTTTCAGAAAATTGGGAATCAATCTACCTCAAGACCCAGCTATACCACTCTTGGACATATACCCAAAGGATACTCAATCATTCCACAAGGACACTTCCTCAACTCTGTTTATCCTTAATAGCCAGAACCTGGAAACAACCCATATGTCCCTCAACTGAAGAATGCTACATTTACACAATGGAGTATTACTCAGCTTTTAAAAACAATGACATCAGGAAATGTGAAGGTAAATGGATGGAACTAGAAAAAAAAAATCATCGTGAGTGAGGTAACCCAGACCCAGAAAGACAAACATGGTATGTACTCATTCATAAGTGGATATTAGCTGTAAAGTAAAGGATAATCATGCTGCAATCCACAGCCCCAGAGAGGCTAGGAAATAAGGAGGACCCAAAGAGGGACTCATGGATTTCCCTGGGAAGGGGAAATAGAAAAGATCTGGGTAGACTAGGGACTGGTGGAGATGAGAATGTGAGGGATTGGACTTGGGAGGAGTGGGGGTGGATGGAGGTGGAGAGTAATGAAAGAAAAGTCTTGATGGGGGGGGGCGGAGGGTCAGGTAGAAACCTGGTGCAAGGGAAACTCCCACAAATCTACAAGGATGACCTCAGCTAAGACTCCTAGCAATAGTGGAGAAGTAGCCTGAACTGGCCATCTCCTGTGATCAGATTGGTAACTGCCCCAGTTATCATCAGAGAGCCTTCACCCAGTGACTGATGGAAGCAGATGCAGAGACCCACAGCCAAGCACTGGGCTGAGTTCAGGGAATCCTGATAAAGAAAGGGAGGAAGGATTGTGTGAACCAGGGGGTCAAGGTCATCACAAGGGAACCCACAGAGGCAACTAACCTGGGCTCATAAAAGCTTACAGACTCTGGACCAGCAGCTAGGGAGCCTGCATGGGACCAGCCTAAGCCCTCTACATATGTGTGACAGTTGTGTAGCTTGATCTACTTGTGGGATCCTAGTTGTGGGAGCAGGGCCTGTCCCTAACGCTTTGACTGGCTTCCAGAAACCTACTCCTCATAGTGGGTTGCCTTGCCAGCCTTAATACAAGGGGAGGAGCTTAGTCCTACCTTAACTTGATGTGCCAGTGCCATGCTTTGTTGACCCCCAAGGGAGGTCTGTCCCTTTCTGAACAGAAGCAGAGGAGGAGTGGATTGGGGGCGGGGAGGTGGGGGGTAGGAGGAGGGGATGAAAGGAGAGGAGGGAGGGGAAACTGCAGTTGGGATGTAAAGTAAATGAATAAATTTAATTAATAAAAAATAAAAAAACACTAGATATACTCCACTGTGACTTCTTGGACTGAGCAGCTGTGGTCCTGGGGTACCCAATGATCAACCCCTTTGTGTAAAATCCCAGTGTGTACATTTGCCTTCAGACCTTGGTTCTAGTGAGACCCACCAGAATTCCCTAAGTGGAAACCACAAATGCTTCTCAATTTTGCCTCACACATCACTAACAAACTAGCAAGAAACTGTCCCGGAGAGAATGATAATCGGCTGTGTGGGCACTTCTACACCACAAGAGGGCAGCAAACTACACCATGTGGACAGCTTTCAAGGGCCCAAGCAGAGTCTGGCTCAGAGTAGCCTACCCTACCGAGAACATTTGGAACTGACAGGGCTCCTGATCCCAACCTTCCTTCCCATCCAAACACCACGTTTATTTTAGAGCAGAGCTGTCCACCACCCAGGCCTGCGAGGTCATCAGGGTCCAATGGTCAGGCTGGCCAGCCCCCTGCCTTTCAGTTGCGCCTTTCAGCCAGAAAGACAAGGAAGTTGCCATGTGATCACTACCAGGCAAAATGGTGGGATAATGAGGACCAGGAGAAGACCAGAGCCTAGGCAACTGTACAACGAGACGTGGAGCCAGCCCTCTGCTGAGTGGCAGAGAAAAGTCTCAGGTAAGGAAGGGCCTCTACCTTGTAGCTGCTGCTTGGAAAATGGTTTTATTTGTGTTTCCAAGTAAGCTCTCTGACGTGGTGCTTGTTAGCACACAGGAAGGTGGGGTGGGTATCCCTTTCATCAGAAATGGAGAGTGAGGGGAAGCTAGGCAAGATCATTCCTCCCAGGTTTCCCATTAGTCATCTTTGTACAAAATCCTCACTGTGTTGGGATTCTGTAGCTATTCTAGGGCAACAGGGAGTGATCCCAGGAAGCTTGCCCGGCTGAGAAGAAAATAGATGTCCTGCTCCCTGCAGAGGGGAAGCTGTGGCCCTGGGAAATCAGAGGTGACCCCAGGTCAGGAATGAGGCAGGGAGGATGTTTGGACCAGGGTGGGACTGGGGCAGGTGGGTATGGTATATGGGTGCCATTTGTGACTCCCGCCACAGCATAAATGCCACATGTGGACATCCAGGAAGAGTTGAGCCATAGTGAGTTCTGTGTCTCCTAAGAAATCATAAATGTGTAAAGAAAACTTGGGGACCATCTAGACCTTGTGACAAATGATCGTGTGTGTGTGTGTGTGTGTGTGTGTGTGTGTGTGTGTGAGAGAGAGAGAGAGAGAGAGAGAGAGAGAGAGAGAGAGAGAGAGAGAGAGAGAGAGCAAGCAAAGAGACTAAGTGTCCCTTCAGGGCATGTTAAATCTATATGTCACCTTTCCCATTCACAGGTCCTGTGGTTCCTACTCTGATGCCATCCAGATCTAGGGGCATCCCGGAAGCACACAGGGTCAGAGGTTGGGAAAACCAATGCAACTTTATGCTTCAAATTCTATTTTTCCTCAACCCAACATTAAAATGAAATTGGGTTTTCAGAACCCAAGCTCCTAAGTTCTATACAGAATCTAGAAAGTCCTGATAATTGCAGAGTAGCAGGGGTCAGACATGATTGGATTAATAAACAAAACCAGTATGAGAGAGAATTTAATATCACCTCAGAGTTAACATCTACTGTGCAACTACCAGAGCTTCGTAGATTCTGTACAGAACTCGGGAGCTTGGGTTCTAAGTTATAACAAGAAGCAAAGAGGTTGGAGGCAGGTACAGTGGCACACACCTGTATTCCCAGCACTTGGAAGCAAAAGGCTCAGTACAGGGCCAGCCTCAGCTACATAATGAGTTTGAGGCCAGCCTGGGCTACAGTCTGATAAAATCATGGAAGACGAAGGCTCAATGGTCACCACTTAGTACCTGGGTGAGCCTCAGATTCTTAATCTTAAGGGTCAACAGTCTTTCACTAAATGTGTTTAAGAGAAATTTTCTTTGAATCTGAGCACAGTGGTAACACGTGTAGTCTCCGCTTCTTGGAGGGCTGAGACAAGAGAATTATTTGAACCCAGGAGTTCAGACTATCCTGGATAACACAGCAAATCCTATCTTGACAAAAAATAACCTTTAATGCAACTAAGGCAGTGCCTGTGAACTGTAGAAATGTTAAAGAGTAAAGCAGAAACAACTGTTACAGCTTAAAAGATAGCTCAGTGGCAACAGGCAACAGGCAAGAGGTCCTGAGTTCATAGCTCCCCAACACCCACGTAAAAAGCCAAGCATGAGGTTGCAGGCATGTAACCCCAAATCTGGGAGGCAGAGACAGGAAGATCCCAAGGGTCTGTGGCAACCAGTCTAGCCAAAATAGCAAACTCCACTGTCAATGAGAGACCCTGCCTGAAAAATCAGGGTGGAGAGTGATGGAAGAAGACACTCCACATCCACCTCCACACTTACAGAAGGTACATTTTTCCTGCTTAGAATACATAACTTTCCTAAAATGAGACCATACATACATGCTACAAGTAACTTTTTAAAAATTATATGTTTGAATGTTTTGCATGTGTGTATATATTCACATCCTGTGTGCCTGCCACCCACAGAAGCCAGAAAAAAAGAGTCAGATCCCCTGGAATTATAGTTACACTTATAAGCTGACACTTGCATGCTGGGAACTGAACCAGATCTTCTGCAAGAGCAGCCAGTGCTCTTAACCACTGGGCCATCTCTCCAGCCCCATGAAACTCAGTCAATATTCCCTGTCTTTTCATGTCAATAAACTGTCATATAATATATTCTGTCCCCATTCAAATATCCCCATCTTTAAGTGGGGTTATCGAATTTCACCATTTTTTTTTTAAAGTATCACAGACTTGGATAGAATCCTGCGCCCACAATGTGATGCTTTCTCCAAGGTTAGGTCGCCATGGGTGGTTGAGAGACTTAGGACCACAGCCCAGGGGTGCTTGCTTGGCTCTGTGCCAAGTAGACCGTTTCCAACAGAAATGCTGGCTTCCTTGTACCACAGAAGCTGAGCAACACTGGGCTGTGAGATGGGACCTGAGCAGAGGGCTGGAAAGGGAAATATGGGTTGTGCCAAAGCACAGGGCCCCACCCAAAGTTTGGCAGGTGCTGTGAGCTAGGGTTAGGAGAGCAGGTGAGAGTGGGTCCACCCTGTGCAGCTGTTCAGGAAAAGACTCACCCACCCCCTTCCTCCCCAGGCCCCTTCCACTCCTACTCTCACCTCCAACCTTTCCCAGGACCCTGCGCCCCAACACAATAGCCAGGCCACTGATGCACCCCAGTACATTGGAGGTTTGCAAAGGGCATTTTCAGAAGTGTTTACAAATCGGTGCAGCTGGAACCTCTCACCCCAAACTCAGGAATATTTACCTTGGGCTAAGGAGCCTGTGCTTCTGCTGGCCTTCAAGCACAGCCTAGCATTCCCTACCCTGTGCAGATCCTCAAGGACTTGAACTCCTGAACCCTCAGCATTCTAATCTGAAACCAAGTATTTAATCTTAAAAGCAAGAAAGAATAAGGCCAAGTTTTCCTTCCTCTGGACTTGTCCAGGCCCCTCCTCTGCACCCACTGAGTGAGGTGTGGGCCCCGCATGCCTTCGGGCTGACCTCACCCTGATCCAGCCTGTCTGTCCCAGGCCCGGCCATTTCATCTTATCTCAAGCATAGATCATGCAAAGATCACACTATACATGCCTCATGATGAAAACTTGTGCCACTTTCCCAAGCCCTTTCCCACCCTGTCCCTGTGGTAGTACAAATTCCAACGTATTGACTCCTCTCAAGCAGAAAGGGTCAGGACCTGGGGTGGGTCATTGTCACTTGGGTAAAGCTCCCCGCACCCAGCCCTCAACTCTGCCTCCAGGTTCCCAGATGAGTTGGAACTTGAACGTGTGCTGCAGAGACCTGCTCCTGGGCCTGTGGGCGCAGCTCCTCTGCTTTGATGCAACGCCCCCCCCCAAAGCTTGCAGAAAAATAAACCAATGTCCTGACCAAGTCTTCAGTGCCCCCCCCCCCCCCCCCCCCCCCCCCCCCCCCCCCCCCCCCCGGCAAGGGCTTCATTGTATTTGAGAAAAGTGTCATCAGTCCTGCTTTCTGTCATTCTCCCAACCCTTCCCAGCCCAGCCAGACCCAGACCCAGTCCAGCCAGGGACTGCTGTACCAGGGAAGGTGCCAGTGGCCTACCCCAGTGTGCAGAATAATCCATGCCCCTCTGACATCAGCAGGCAGGGGTTCCCTCCCTTCACCAGGGCAATTCTCAGAAACACCAGTCAGCCCCAGGAGAGCTGCCTGTCTCTCAGACCTGGCACATCTGGCACCAGACCCTCAAGCCATTTGGTGCTGCTGCGGCTCTGAGGCCACACCACGAACAGCCCGACTTCTGAGTTCATTTCTGCCTCGAGGCTTCCTAGAGGCCACATGGGAGGCAGCTGGGCCCAAGCTCAAGGAAGAAGCCTGAGGAATGAGGAAACCCCACCTACTTTCTTGGAATCTGTACTTCTCAGCCAGTCTGGCACGGACCCTCCCAGGAGCCCCATTCTGAAAGGCGGAAGAGTGATCGGTAGTAACCTCTCCCCAAAGTGTTGTGGGGGTCGTCTACTTAATGCATGGAAAATCCTTAGATAATACTTAGATCTGTGTTAGCCATTATTCTATAGTATTATCATCCCAAACCACACCAGCCAAACAGCCTTTGTTTTCTGAGCCCTTGACACTCTTCAAGGTCATCAGCCTGCATCTTTCCAGTGGGCCCTTGGCTGGATGGGGTGGTGCAGGCACATAATCCCAGAACTCAGAAAGCTGAGGCAGGGAAGGCCCGAGTTCCGGGCCAGCAAGACTCTTGTCTTAAAAAAAACAAAACCCTAAGTAAACGGCTGCACTGTGGTCTCGGGAGTTAACTTTGACTATTTTGGCCCACCCCTAAACTGGCAGAGACTCTGCTGTTCCCTTCACGACACCCACACAGAGGAGAATGCCAGTTTCATGTTCTATGGTTTACAAAACGTTTTCACTTCTGTTTCTACAATGTGGCGTAGACAGGGCATTAACAGTCACTTCGAAATGAGCCCCACCAGCAGAGCGTGGTCAGTTAGGACTCGAGCCCTAACATCTAACACACAGTGTAACTGCGCAGTGTGAAGACTCCACTCCAGCTCTGCCTGATTTCAAACCCAGTTTGTTTGATTGATTTTTTTTCCCCCTCAGCAGTGAGCTTGGTCACAACCAGTTAAGTGTGTCCTCCTTCCAAAAAGAAGTTCAGATGCCGAAAGAATCAGAGACAGCCACACAATGAGAAGCAGATGTCCTGCCCCTTGTCTCTGGAGCAGGGCAAGGAGGACAACTGGCTGGTGGGGCCCCTGCAGTCACTCCGCCCATGAGCTCAGCTCCTGGCAGAGTTCCTCATGAAGAAGTAGGCCTCCTGGGCCCAGAGAAGACAGAGCAGAGCTGGGGCCAGGCCACAAGGCTGCTTCACTCGGGGGTCAGAACAAGGAGTGGCCAAGGCCAGCCACATTTTCCTTAACTCTCTCTAACCTTAACTACCCTGGAAGGCAAATGCTCGGCCTGTTTTTCAGAGAGGTCTTTCTTTGGCTCTTTTCTGAGGCAGGCTCCTACTACGTAGCCCCAGCAGGCATGGAGCTCACTATTATGTAGACCAGGCTATGTACCTTAGTTTCCTGCCTCTGCCCCCTGCCCCCTGCCCCTGCCCCTGCCTCTGCCTCTGCTCCTGCCCCTGCCCCTGCCCCCTGCCCTCTGCCCCTGCCCCTGCCCCCTGCATCTGCCCTCTGCCCCCTGCCCCCTGACTCTGCCCCCTGCCCCTGCCCCCTGCCCTCTGCCCTCTGCCTCTACCCCCTGCCTCTGCCTCTGCCCCCTGCCCCTGCCCCTGCCCCTGCCTCTGTCTCTGCCCTCTGCCCCCTGCCCCCTGCCCCTGCCCCCTGCCTCTGCCCCCCTGCCCCTGCCCCCTGCCTCTGTCCCTGCCCTCTGCCCCCTGCCCCCTGCCTCTGCCCCTGCCTCTGCCCCTGCCCCCCCTGCCTCTGCCCTCTGCCCCCTGCCTCTGCCCTCTGCCCCCTGCCCCGCCTCTGCCCTCTGCCCCCTGCCCTCTGCCCCCTGCCTCTGCCCCCTGCCCCTTGCACCTGCCTCTGCCCCCTGCCTCTGCCCTCTGTCCCCTGCCTCTGCCCTCTGTCCCCTGCCCCCTGCCTCTGCCCCCTGCCTCTGCCCTCTGCCCTCTGCCCCCTGCCTCTCCCCTCTGCTCCCTGCCCCCTGCCCCTGCCTCTGCCCCCTACCCCTGCCTCTGCCCCTTGCCTCTGCCCTCTGCCCCCTGTCCCCTGCCTCTGCCCTCTGCCCCCTGCCCCTGCCCCTGCCCCCCTGCCTCTGCCCTCTGCCCCCTGCCTCTGCCCTCTGCCCCCTGCCCCTACTTCTGCCCCCTGCCCTCTGCCTTCCAAGGGCTGGGATTACAGGTGTACACCACCAGCCCCAGCTATGTGGCTTTCCAAACTAGTAAGCAGGGACACCAGAATATGAGGCAGGGTCTGTGCGACTCCACAGTCAGGCCAGCCTGCCGGTGTGATCTCCAGTTTGGGGGCTTTACCTCTGGCACTCTGGCCAAACGAGAATGAAGCTGTTGTGAGAACAGAGACTACACCTTCCCTGCTGTAGCTGTGTGTCCAACTCCCGGGGTCAGGACTCCCACCCATCCTGGTCTTTAGGGACAAGGGTTAGCGCCTAGTCATTATAAAAGCTCTAGGAGTTACCAGCAAGTCAAGGCCCCTGGGAGGAAGACAGGGCAGGCAAGGCTCAGGAGGATGGGGGTTGGGTAGTAAGAAGGGTAGCAGGCGCAGACCATGACTGTGAGGGTCCTGTGTCATGGCCCTCGCTTTACAAGCCCCTAGGGAGGGCTGTTTCTGTAACTGATGTGACCATTTCCATGACAGGGAAGGTTTGAAGTTGTGAGTGCAGAGCAACACTCCGGCCAAGCAGGAAGAGGTAGAGGCTGGTCCCAGGGCGGGTAGGCTCCAGGATCCTGAGCCCCAGCAAAGGCACTGCTTTTATTCATTTAACAAACCACAGCTACGGCCACAAAGCAGGAACAATGCAACCAACTCCACCCAAAGCCCAAGCTTCCCTCCAGCTGGTGCAGGAGAGCCCGAGCACAGCGTGAGTTTCTAGGAGACTCAGCATGTTGAATGGCACAAGTGCCTGGCCTTGTCTTCATACCCAGAACCGCCCTACTGGCCCCAGGTGCCACTCTGGTTTCTCTTGTGTGTCCTGCCCACAAACTGTAACCCCCGCCCCTCCCTTCTGCCCACGATGCTTCTTCTGCCACTCTTCACCAGACAGTGCATGTGGACCCCCCAGACCTCCGTCTAACAACTTGAGTCTCCTTCCTGGAAATCATACCATTGTGATTAGCATCTGGTGTGACAGCACCAACACCAGACCCGACACAGATCTCTGTCTTAACCAATGTGCAATGAATATAAGAACAGTAGACGGGGATGGAGTTCCGTTAATCTAGAACTGGCTAAGCATGGAGGAGGCCCCTGGGTTCAGTCTCTAGCACCAAAATTGTTCAGAGGATAACTCTGGGGAGTCAGTTCTCTCCTTCCACTTTTTTTGTGGGTTCTAGGCATCTAACTCAGGTCACCAGGCTTGCACAGAAAGTGCCATTGTCATCTTCAGCCATCAAGCTGAGTGCACCCTCCTTACCTCCACATGGCCTCATGTATCCCAAGCTGGCCTTGAACTTGAGGATGGCTTTGAACCCTGACTTTCCTG